GCTCCAGCCCTCGGATCATTTTAGTAGCCCTCCTTTGGCCCCGCTCCAACAGGTCCATGTCCTTCTTGTGCTGAGGGCTCCAGAGCTGGACGCAGGGCTCCAGGGGAGGTCTCCCCAGAGCAGGGCAGAGTAGTTCCCATGATTCTGCTCAAGGGTGGGAGCAGACTTGGAAGGACTTACTGCATCCTGTAGGCCCAGCATGTCTGGGCAGATGAGGAATCAAATACTGCAAACTGATACAAAGAGCAGTAATTTTCTCTGCTTGTCTTGCACCTTGTTGGTCCAGCCCAGGGAGAAATGAGAACCCTAGTTCTCAGGAGCAATGTTCAGCCTTCCTGTAACTGATGCTTTTCTCTGCTGTCTTTCCAGGGAGCTTCCTTTTTGTGACAGGCGGATATTTCCGGGATGAGTTTGTGTGGTATAGTGTGGATTGGGTGCTGGTCTACAATTGCTTGGACAATAGCTGGCTAGAAGGGCCTGCCATGAAGAAGTCCCGCAATAGCCATTGTGCGGTAGGAGCAGGGCTCTACCTGTATGTGCTTGGAGGGAGCACAGATGAAGGGATAATCCCAGCAGTGGAGCGCATGGCTTTGACGGAGTCGGAGTGGGAAAGCATGAGTCCTATGGCTCAACCTGTGGAGAGAGGAGATGCGGTCAGCATGGGAACCAAGATCTACGTGGTCTGTGGCCTGGATGAAAATGGACATGTATATGATGGAGTGCAAAGGCTGAACACAGAGACGGACAGCTGGGATGTCATCTCATTCTCCCCGCTTCCAAGGTAAGATATAATCTGGGACCTGGCAGGAGAAGAAAGGTTCTAGGGTTGGTCCTGCTCCAAGAAGAGGCTGGACTGGAGAAATCCAGAAGTCCTGTCCCACCACCACTTCTGTGATTCTCTGTTTAAATGGGACTCTTGATACAAGGACCAAAGTCACGCTGAATATTTCAGGGGCCAGATCTTTCTGCTGATTCTGGTCAAGGGTTTCTTTTCTCCCAGGTATGACCTCTGCATCACATCACTGAACGGAGCTCTGTACACCATAGGAGGGGGAGCTTTTCGATTTGATGTGGAAACAGATGAATGGACCCAGGTGGATGAGGAATGCTTGACCCAGAAGTTCTTCATGGGATGCAGCACTGTGAACGGACAAATTTATCTCCTTGGACAGAGGAAGGGGAACAGTGCCCTCCCCGTTGTAGTGCTCTTTGATCCCTACATTGATATGTGCCAGGTCATAGATAACAAACTCCCTTGCCCCCTTCCTATTCATGGGTGTGTGTCTGTGCGGAGATTTGATACGTGGGCATGAGTGATGCCAGATCCAACATAACCAAAAAGAAATTCATGTGCTTTACAGCTGATGGGAGTTAGATTGCGTCAAGTTTGGTCTGTGAAATTTTTTAATTTTAAGAATAGATCTGGTCGTTGAGAGCTTTGTCTTTTTTCCTACCTGGCAAATGAAGTTGTGGCAAAAGGTAGTGAAACCTCTGTGTCTGTGCCAAGGTTGCAGGTGGTTTTTGGTGGTCAGCATTGTTATGGTACATAAACTCGGGGTTGATGCTAAATAAAGGGCTGCTCTGACCTTTAACCGCTGTGGCTCTCTGTCCTTTGAAGAGCTGGGAGAGACGGGAAAGTCACTGCATCAGTGTTAGAAAATCCTGTAGGAGCAAAGTAATAAATAAAATCTGTGTCAAGGGACTCTTCAGCGGGATGTGTGAGCTCCTAGTGCTGCAGGACAGGAAAAAAAAACAAAACCCAACCACTGCAGTCAAGCTATACCCAGTATCGTTTAGCCTGAAATGACCAAGTTTCCCAGTTTACGTAATTATGGCTAAAATTACCTTCATTCCAGGCTGGAGAGCACCATAGAAGGAGGGAGGCTATTCTGGATTTGTGCATTCAGGTATGTGATAACAACCATTTGCAAACTGGGGCGCTTAAAAGTCTTGCTTCACTTTCCTTAGTCCCCTTTGGGTTTATTGCTCCACAGACCCAGAATAAAAATCTCCACCCCAAAGCACTGAAATGAGGCTGCAAGGAGCAGGGACCTGCATGTGGCCTTAATTAAAGACTGCGTACGATGAGAGGGTTTGATGGGCAGGACTGAGGACTTAGCACAGCAGTAGGGGATAGATCTCCAAGGGTGCTGAGGTCTCCCAAGGATAGAGCAGCTGAGAGAATGGCTGCCATGCAAGTGCTTGACTGGACAAGAAGGGGAGAGTGCAACAGCACCGACCTGGGAGGTTGCACTACAACTGTTACTGTCATCTATGTGAGCAGAGTCTGTTCTTTGGTGAGACGCAGCAATTTTGAAAGGAAAATGTACTGGAGAGTGGCTGAGCTGAATGATTGTCCTCTCCGGAGAATGGGAGAGGCCTTAAAAACTGAGAGGGGTTGGTTAAAAGCAACCCCACCACTGCTAGAGCGATGGCAGGATGGCAGGAGCTACTCTGTCCAGGCCTGCAAGTGCGGAGCCCTCTCGATCCAGGTTGGCTTCCATTCCTTTGGGCCCCTCCCTCCCCGAAGGACCTGGGGGGGCTGGAGCGTGTCCAGAGAAGGGCAGCGGAGCTGGGGAGGGGTCTGGAGCCCCAGGCTGCTGGGGAGCGGCTGGGGGAGCTGGGGGGGTTCAGCCTGGAGCAGAGGAGGCTGAGGGGAGCCCTCATCGCTGCCTACAACTGCCTGAGAGGAGGGGGGAGCC